AACTTTGATGACTTTCAACTAATATTATCAAACCTTGAATTTGAAGCAGATGTCATTACTTTAACTGAATGCAGATTAGACCAAAACAAACCTATTCCACAAATAACTAATTACCACTCTTATTTCACTAAAACTCAATTAAATCAAAACTCTGGTGTAGTCGTTTATATAAAAAGTAATTTAAAACATAAAGTAAGTGAAATAAAATTAGCTCAAGCTAATTGTCTTCAACTCGAAATATTAAATAATACCATTCTGTGTATCTATCGTTCTCCTTCCTATATTAACGCAGATGACTTTATCGATTCCCTAAGTACTCACTTGGACTCTCTAAACTCTTCTAAAAGTATAATAATTGCGGGTGATATTAATATCAACATAACAATCAAGTCTATAGAACCACCATATGAATTAAAAGATCGCATCAATTACTTAAATATGCTGGCAGTGTACGGTATACTACCTGGTCACACAATCCCTACCAGGGAAAAAAATTGTTTGGACCATTTTATGATGAAAATGAATAAAACCAAATTCCATGCAACAATAGCTGTATTACATACTAGTACTACGGACCACTTTACCACATTTCTTTCGATATCAAAAATAAAATACCATCAAATAGCAAGCAAAACTAGAACAATTGTAAATTATGAAGCTGCTGCGCTAGACCTTGAAACTAAAAACCTCACAGAATTGCTCTACTGCAATGACCCGGATGCTGTGATAAATGGTCTAGTGTATAGTCTAAAGGAGATAATTAAAAACAATACTGTCGTTACAACTATACCTAAAAAAAATCGTAACATTAAGCCATGGATCACGCCTGGAATTCTGCGCTGTATCCGAAATCGAAATAAATTGCAAAAGAAAGTAAAAGACGACCCCTACAATGAACTTAATAAAATTATATATATTAGATATCGAAATTATTGTAACAATCTTATTAAAAAACTAAAAAGACAATATGAAAGAGAATTATTGAATAAATCTATTAATAATAATAAAAAATTATGGAAAAATATTAAAAATATTACCTTTACCAGTATGAGTAATAATAACAATAATATAGATCTACTAAACGTCATGCCCTCTCCAGCTGCATCTGCGGATTACGTAAATCACTTTTTTGCAAATATAGGGAGACAACTGTCTCAACAGGTACAGCTGTCTCAAGAGGAATTGAATGATTATTTGCGTAACTTACCAACTCAGTCAAACTCTTTTGTTTTGCTTGACACTGATCAGGATGAGGTGTCTAGTACACTACTGTCACTAAAAACGAGCAGTGCCCCTGGCTGGGATAACATTCCTACCATATTTCTCAAGCGTGTGAGACTTCAAATTGTACCGATCTTAACTCATTTCATAAATCTTTGTTTTCACAAGGGGACCTTTCCATCGCTATTTAAACAGGCTATCATTACTCCAGTTCACAAATCAGGGGATAGAGACAGTGTAACTAATTATAGACCGATCTCTGTCTTGCCCGCCATTTCTAAGATAATGGAAAAGTTGCTCAATTCGCGGTTACTTAACTATCTGAACAGATACAATATTTTATCTCCCTCTCAGTATGGTTTTAGACAGGGAAGATCGACTGAAGACGCAGTCTCTGCGTTGAGCTCGCTGGTGGTTGAGAAACTTGATAGTCACAAAAAATGCATGGCAGTATTCCTTGACTTACAAAAAGCGTTTGACACTGTCTCTATCCCTATCCTGTTGCGTAAACTGGAAGCAATTGGTATGAAGGGAACACCACTTAATTTGCTCAAGGACTACCTGTCTAATAGGAAACAGAGGGTAAAACTTGATTCCTTCATTAGTGGAGACTCGGAAGTGACATATGGTGTACCTCAAGGTAGTGTCCTTGGGCCTACTCTTTTTCTCATTTACATTAATGACCTTTGTGATATGAAAACAAAAAATGCTCAAATCCTTTCATACGCTGATGACACAGCCGTAGTCTTCAGTGCAGACTCATGGGAAAACGTAAGGAAACAGGCTGAGAGTGGCTTGAAACAGATAAACAAGTGGCTAAGCAATAACCTCCTTTCTTTAAATACCACCAAAACTAATTATATTTGCTTTAGTATTTATAACAATACACAACCACCAAAAGACTTCTCTATAAAAATACATAAATGCAATACTAGCCCAAATGTAAAAACTTGTAGTTGTCCTGAAATTCAGAAAGTTGACCAAGTAAAATACCTAGGCGTCTATGTAGATCAGAGGTTGTCATGGTATCCGCAGCTGGAATATATTTCCTCAAGACTCAGAAAATTAATCTGGATCTTCAGGATGCTGAGATACGTGGTGCCCAGGATGGTTGACAACCAAACTAGCTCTGAAAAAGGTCTCCTTATTAAAATATATTACTCGCTGGTGCAATCTATCTTGATATATTGTATATCTATCTGGGGTGGTGCTGCCAAAACCCGTTTTATTGAGGTAGAGCGGGCCCAGCGAAGACTAATTAAGACCATGTGTTTTCAAAATTTGGGGTTCTCGACCGAGCGTCTTTACCAAAACACTGGTATTCTTTCTGTTAGGAAATTATACATAATGCAGGCAGTTTTAAGAAAACATTTATCCTTGCCTTACAATCCTGATATCAAGAATAGGAGAAGACATGACATTGTTGTACGAGCTCCTCGAAGCAACACTGCCTTTGCTAAAAGACAATATACCAAACGGTCAGGACATTTATATAATACAGCAAACAAGGTATTGGGAATATATGATAAAGTCTTTTTTGAATGTAGAAGACTTCTTAAGATATGGCTACTCCCTAAGTCTTACGATGACACTGAGGCTCTTCTAGAGTAATGAAGCAATAATTAAATTACATTATATTATTTTAGAATTTTACACACAAACACACCACTCAGTTTCACACACACACACACACACACACACACACACACACACACACACACACACACACACACACACACACACACACACGCACACACACACACACACTCACACACTCACACACTCACACACACACACACACACACACACACACACACACTCACTCACATACACACACACGCGCGCGCGCATTCAGGCTTATGTTGCTTAAGTTGCTTTGGCTGATTTATAAATGTAAATAAATAAGTATATTAAGTCATTTTTGTTAGACCACATATATTATTGTTACTTATATATTTTTATTTTGTTTCGTAATTATTATTTATTAAGTTTTCTTGTAAGAAATGACCTATTTTAAGGAAGAGCAGTGTCCCCTGGCACAGGCTGATTCAAGCTTAAAAGGAGACACTGGTCACATATATTCTAAGTACTTAAACTCTTACAGCAAAAAAAAAAAATAAAACATTATTATTAGTGTCTGAGCAGCTATCCAATTGCCTCTCTCTAAAATTTCTTCAATTAGTCTGTTTTCAATCCAGGCTAAAGATGCTACTGCAGATCGACAAGAACCAGGAGTAGCATCTATACCAGCATCCATTAATACAGAGCGTACCCATTCACTTATCATTGTTCTGGACGCATGTTTTGGAGTACCTCTTATAGAAATGAACAAATTTCCATCTATTTTGTCAGTCCGTCTTTCCTTAGTTGCCTGAATTAGAAGTCTTATCCATCTTACTGGGCATAAGTTACTGTCCTCATTAGGAAGAAGCTTCCAACCAGACTGCCGTCTAGACCCGTTATCAGTCTTAGCTCCAAATACTGGCCATAAGCAGATCACTTGCCCATTGACAGTAAAATACGGTTCTTTAATCCTCAATAACATGAAGTCGTGTAGTCTACGACCAGATGTCAAGAGCAAGATTGTTTGCAGTTCTTCTTACAATTTCAAATAGTGAGTTGTATTTTGGATTTTGTTTCAACCAGTCTGTTACTTGCTTTACATCCCACATTGATGATTTAAAATTAGGTGGTTTGGAATTATGAATAGCTTTAAGTATGTTTTACGAGAAAATTTGAGGATATGTGGCCGAGGAAGGAAAAGGGGAGATCTCCCGCCGGGCAACGTGTTCTGCCCGAGGAGCGGCCAACGCTCCGTGTGATAGTTCGGAGCTGTTCTATATACACTGTTTATGACTCGGAACTTTGATAGCGCGATTTAGGCTTCGGTATGTTTCACTTGTGGCGTGACGACAGCGCCGCCACATCACCCCCCTGCTCAGACCGAAAGTGACAGTGCAATCCAATTGCCGGTGCGTCCTTAATGCTGGTGGGGAATGCATGCTGTGCGCGTAAGGGCAAGTGACACCGGTGCGAATGATATGCCGATGTGTAATGCATGCCATACTACGCACTGGCAAGTGATGCCGGTGAGAACGATATACCGGAGCAAGTGCCAGAAGTCTGCCTTTATAAATTTGCAGTGAATCGAGATGAAGACAAGTTGCGCTGGTTTGCAGGAACTGAAGACTGCAGAAGATGATTCTCAGTAGTGAATGGTAGGGGTTCTTGAGGATAATGACGAAGGCTTGAAGTTGTAGTTTCCGAATGTTGTTGGTTGCGTGTTCAGATCACGTCGGGTGGTCACCACCGTGGCCGTCGAAGGAAAAGGGAGATCTCCCGCCGGGCAAGGTGTTCTGCACGGGGAGCGGCCAACGCTCCGTGTGATAGTTCGGAGCTGTTCTATATGTATATACTGTTGATGATTCGAAACTTTGATAGCGCGATTTGGGCTTCGGTGTGTTTCGCTTGTGGCGCGACGACAGTGCTGCCACAGACATATCCTCCTTCATTTCACAGTATGTTGCTACAGCAGATTTTTGTACCAAAATCGTACTGTATGCCAGACCCTCTTTTAAAAAAAGTATCAGCTAGGAACTGTGCCACTTCTTCTGGTTTGGGATACTTCGGATTGATTTCTTTAGTTCTGCACCAAGCTATCCATCGCTTTAGTACTGGTTTATAGGTATTCAAGGTAGATTGACGCCAGCTTAACTTGAGGAGATCTTTTCCGTTTGGGACCATGGCAATAATTTATCTCCCCAAACCTTCAGGGTTAGTCAGTCTACTTGCGGAGGTGGAAGCGCTGTTGTGAGGTCCACTAACACTTCCTGTAACGAGGTCACAATCATTGGCTTATCGAGTGCTCCGGCCTGAAGATCCACTCTCCAAAACGGTTTTTCCCAATCTGGTGCTACCAACAGGAACGTACCCCTTGACTTGTTGAGGTGTGAGAGCACTTGCGGAATCAAGTTTGGTGGAGGGAATATCCAACCCAGTTGACAATTCCACTCTCTTGAAAAGGCATCTATAAACATTGCGGAAGAGTCGCGTGAATCTATTGTTATATAGTTTGGTAGTATAGCGGATCTTTCTGATGCAAAGAGGTCTATGTCTGGTTTTCCCCATCGCTTGAACACCTCTGATGTTGCCTGAGGTTTTAAATGCCATTCTGGTACAGGACGTCTCCGCAACAGTCTGTCCGCTATCGCATTGTATCTGCCGGGGAGATATTGGGCTGAAAGTGTTATGTTCCACTTGTTTTTTTTTTTTTGCGCCCGAAGCAAATATGGGCAACCCTCCGGAAAGCGGGGGGAGGGAGGTTGAGAATGCTCATAGCATACCACGCAGCCGGCTGCGTGGTTATGTGGAGACTTTTACCCACTAAACTCAACCTTTTGGGATTTGGCTTAACGATCTGCCTAGAGATCTCTAAGCCGTATACGAACGCGACCCTCCTTGGCAGAAAGGGAGGGCGCAAGCGGCGAAAAGCCGCTTAGAAAAGTGCCTAACTAAGGCAGATTAATGGATGTGTTATGTAGGCTCGGCCCGAGCCGCCAGGAGGCAGTTCAGGTCAGTCAAAAGCTTGTTGGGGGGGGTCCGAGAGAGAGTTTCTCGGTCTGCGCACACTATAGCGAGTGTGGATAGGGGCTGCATAGGCAGCCGTCTCACGAATGAGATGATTTGGGTGGGACTCTGAGGCTTTGAAAAATCTCTCAGAGAGTGATTTGAGGAACTGCTGGATTGTTGGGAGCTCTAAGTCTCGATGTAGGTCGGAATTACGGACATAATAGGGCGAGTTAGTGGGCCTACGACAGAATAGATTTTGAACTATTTGAAGTTCATTGATAGCTTTGGGTTTAGCGTGTGCAAATATGGGGGCCGCGTAGGTCATGACAGGTCGTATGCAGACCTTATATAGGGTTCGCTTGTTGCGGAGGGACATTTTACTGTGTCTGCCCAACATGCTGTTGAGCCTACCCATGTAAAAACGTGCGGTGCGAGTAACCTTCTTGATATGGGGCTCGAAAGTGAGCCTTGCATCAAGGGTGACGCCTAGGTATTTGGCTTTAGTTTGCCATGGGACAGGGGTTCCTAACATCCTGATTGGCGGAGTGGTGGTGAGACGACGTCGTTTATATTCGAAGCAAACGGCGGAGCTTTTCTCCGGGTTTACGTCGATACTCCATTTTTGGAACCAAGCTCCTAAGTCGCTTACTGACTTTTGGATCTTGTTCCGAATCTGTGGTAGTGAGTTGCCTTTGGAGTAAAGGGCTGTGTCATCTGCAAAAAGGGCTAGTTTGACACCATTCGACGGGATAGGGATGTCGTTGGTGAATAGTATGTATAGGAGGGGAGCAAGCACAGAGCCTTGAGGGACACCGGCTTTTATTTGACGGGTAGAGGATAGCGTGCCTTCGTGTCTAAAACGAAAGGTACGATCCTTCAGATAGGAGGCTACAAGGCGAACGAGACGATCTGGGAGGCCTAAGTCGTACAGTTTGTAGATAAGGCCCTCGTGCCAGACTCTGTCGAATGCCTTGGCAATGTCAAAGAAGACCGCGATGGTTTTTTGACGGCGAGGGTAAAAACCGCTGAGGATGTATTCCACTATGCGGTGAACTTGTTGGGGGCACGAGTGTTTGGCTCGAAACCCGAATTGTTGTGGGATGACAAGAGGGTCGCCGTCTGTGGCAAACAAATGGCGCCTCAAGCGCACGAGAATGACTCGTTCGAAAAGTTTGCCCATGGCCTTGAGGAGGCTGATGGGACGGTGATTGGAGGGGAGGTGGAGAGGTTTGCCTGGCTTGGGAATGCCAATGACAGTTGCCTCTTTCCAAGAGGTGGGAAAATAACTGAATTCGAAGCAGGCGTTAAAGATAATGGCCAGTAAGGCGATTACCTGCTCCGGGAAGTGTTTGAGGGCTTGGTTGGAGATACCATCCGCACCCGGTGCTTTTTTGGGCTTAAGTCCTTTGATGGTAGATGTAATCTCATCTTTGGACACAGTGATAGGGTCAGAGGCGGTAGGGGGCGAGTTCCTGCGTCGGACCTCGTCCTCCACTAGTTGAATGTGTAAGGGGTCAGTGGGTTGTGAGCTAGGAGAGCATTGAGCGGCAACGCTGTCCGCGAAGCACTCAGCTTTTTCTTCGTCTTCGAAGGCAATGGAGCCGTCGGGACGAGACAGAGGGGGAGTATGGGTTATAGCGTCTATCCGGAGGGCTCTCGCCATCCGGTAGTACGCTGTGTGAGAGGGAGAGATTTTCTCCATGAGATTGCCCTTTTCGTGGTCTCTGTAGTCTTGGAGGCGGTAACGCAGTTTGCGTTGAAGGCGGTGGGCCGCGAGTCTATATTCAGGAGTGGGATAGCGTGCAGCTCTACGGAGGGCGGCTTTTTTGGCTTTTAACAGGTTGCTAATGTCTAGGGGAAGACTAGTTTTTGCAACCGGGACAACTTTTTCATTCTCTTTAAGAGAGGATGTTAAGTGTGAGGTGAGATTTTCGACCGCGGTGTCTATTTTCCCCGCACTGTCAAGGGCATCGGAAGAAAGGGTTATGGGAGGGTCTGGAGAGTCTATAGCCGAGGCTAGAGACTTTTTGAAGCCCTTCCAGTTGGTGTAGGTTTTGGAAGTGGGAGTTGGAGATGGCTGATGGCCAAGAAGGAGGGATACAGGACGGTGGTCGGATCCTAGATCGTCGAGAGGCTCGATTGCTCTAAGGTTAAGGGAAATTCCTTTAACTAGAGCAAAATCTAGCACATCAGGAGCGTAGGTAACAATGTCGGGATAGTGGGTGGCAGTGAGGGGGCTGTAGACAGTTAGGTCGAGAGACTGAGTGATATTGAGCAGCACCCTGCCACTACTGGTAGTAGTTCGGCAGGCCCATTCAGTATGCTTGGAGTTAAAGTCTCCAAACATAATGACTGAGTCGCCTAATGCAAGGATAGCTTCGAAATCACTCTTGACGGGGAGGGTACCGCTGGGGATATAGCAGGAGGCTAAAACGATTGACTGGTGTCCAGTCATGGCTAGTCTAGTGATAGTGGCTTCCATACTGGTAAGCGACGGAGTAGATATGTGGGAGCAATGAAGGGACTTTTTGTGATAGATGGCAGTACCGCCGCCTTTGCGGTCGGGTCTATCGTTACGTATAAGTGAATAATTTTTAATAGTAAGGCCTTTAGAGACCTTGGGGCTGAGATGGGTCTCCTGTAGGAGTAAGAGATCGGCTTCGCGATCTCGTAGAAAAAGCCTAAGCTCTGGGAGGTTATTTCGCAGACCGCGGATATTGAATGAAACAAGCGACAAACTCTTTGGTTTGATACGACCGTGAGATATTGCGGGAGCAGAGGGCTCCGGCATAATTAAATTACAAGGACCTTAGAAGGTTGATGTGCTCGGTAAGAGCAAGGAGGCGGCCCTGAGGGGACTGAGCTGTGCTCAGTTTATCCGCAAGGATGAGGATTTCGTCCAAATTGATTCTATTGAGTGTGTTATACACTAGGTTTAGAGATTCTACAACAGAGTCTGTCTGTTTTTTTGGGTCGGCGGAGGGACGCGGGATATTTGATTCCTTTTGGAACCAGGGGTTTATTGGGAGCGGCGCTGGCTGAGAGAGCGGGAGGCTCATAAGGGGCCGAGGAGGGCCCTGAGGTGGCCGATAGGGGCCCTGTGGGGGCCGATAGATGCCCTGTGTGGGCTGAGATGAGCCCTGAGGGGGCTGAGGTAGGGGCTGGCCCTGGCTGGGCTTGCGGCTTACAAGAGCCGGGAAGGTTCGGTCATTGACCTGTGGTGGAGCTTTGCGGCTCGGAGGTGGGCGAGGGGCGCGAGGGCAACCTCTAAAATTGGGCGGATGGCCTGTTTGTCCGCAGAGGACACATGAGGGTGGGGATTCGGCGTTTTTGGGCCGTGGGCACTCTTTCGAGTGATGGGGTTCTAGGCACTTAATGCACCTGGGTGGAGCTGAGCAGTTGGCTGCCGCGTGTCCATAAAGTTGACAGCGGTGGCACTGCGCTGGGTAGCCGCGCCGGTGAGAGGCTTCGACCTTAACACGCGACAGGCCGCACACAGTGCGTACCTCGCGGAAAATGGCCTTCGCCTCCGGCACATTGGTGAGAACGAGGAGAGCGAGGTTAAACCTTTCGCCCCTGCTGCTGTGCATTTTATGTACACCTTCAATGGGGAAGCCTTGGGATTTGAGGTCTTCCAGAATGTCTTCGTTTGCGAGTTCATAGGGAACTCCGCGGAGGACTGCCTTGACTTTCCTTTCTTCGGCAAGGGCGTATGTGTGGTAGGACACACGCTCGGCCGTGAATAGGCGGGTTATGTTTCGGAAGTCTTCTATAGACGCCGGTATAATTTTGATGGCCTCACCGACATTAGTGGCTTGGTCGTATTTGAAACCCTTAACGTAGAGGGTTTTGGACAATTGAGTAAATTTCGCCTTGTCTCTGAGAAAGACAGGAGGCGGGACTTGGTTTTTGGCCAGTTCGGGAGCGCAGCGGGTTGCAGGCTTGGCGGTATTGTCTTTCGACTGTGAGGCGGCAGCATTTGGGGCTGCGGAAGTAGGGGCAACGATGGGAGCTGCGGAGGTAGAGGCAGCGGCGGAGGGAGTGCGGGCGGCGGCGGCCGCTGAGGCGGGGGGAGTGCGAGAAGTGGCAGCGCGTTTCGGGCCGCGCTTGGATTTCACTAACGTGAATTCGGCTTGGGAGTCGGTTATGGTTCCTTCGGAGTCAGAAGAATCCGAGGAGCCGGTGGAGCTGAGGGCGGTCCTCTTCCGGGAGGATGAGGTAACGGACGTGGCGTCCGAGTGCTCCATATCGGAGTCGGGGGGACGCGGGTGAGTCGGACTGCGGGGCAGCCGCTTGGGTCGCGAGGAAAGCAGCGACGGCGGGCGGGGGGTACACATGCCTTAGGGGCAGCGGGGGGGAAAATGGCTTTGGCGAGAAGGGTCTCATCAATTTGGGCGGTTCCACTTGTCTATGATCTTCAGAAGTTGAAAGGTTAGAGATAGGAGTCCTATAGAATGCGTTCCTCCCTCTTTGCGATAACAGTTTTGTTGTCTGTTTGTAAGAGCACATGAGTCTCTGAGTTTTTTTTTATAGAAGAGGGGGCAAACGAGCATGCGACTCACCTGATGTTAAGTGACTACCGCCGCCCATGATCAACCGCAACACCAGGGGAATTGCAGGTGTGTTGCCGGCCCTTTACAAAGGAGTACGCTCTTTTCTTGAAGGTTCCCAGGTCGTATCGGTACGGAAAAATCGCTGGTGGTAAACTATTCCACAGAGAGGTTGTACGCGGAAGAAAACTCCTCTTAAAACGTACAGTGGTGGACCGCCAAGCATCCAGATGATGTGGATGGTATCGCGGAGTTTGCCGCATAGTGCGTTCACGAAATTTGGCGGCTGGGATTAATCCGAACAATTCCTCAGAGCACTCTCCATGGTATATGCGAAAGAAAATGCAAGGAGATGCAACATCTCTTCGCAGTGCCAGTGAATCGAGCCGATCGGAAAACACTCGGTCGTCGACGATTTGAGCCACTCTGCGCTGGATTCGGTCAAGTGGAAGGAGCTGGTACTGGGGAGCCCCAGCCCAGAGATGGGAACAGTATTCCATGTGCGGCCGAACCTGCGCCTTGTAAAGTTGCAGGCGGTGTGCCGGCATGAAATACTGTCCCGCTCTGCTGAGCACGCCAAGCTTTTTAGAGGCCAATTTGGCCTTCTCTTCCAAGTGACCACGAAACTGCACGTCACTCGATATGTCGACGCCGAGGAATCCGATACTGGCTGAGGCAACAAGGGGGAGTGCCTTGAAACTGAGTAGATACGACAAAGGGGTTCTTTTTAGCGGTTAACGCGCAAACTTGTGTCTTCTGGGGGTTAAACTGGACTACATTTAGTCACCCCCAATCCGAGACTCTGTTCAGCAAAGACTCGACTTCAGACACAAGTTTGTCCCGGCACTCGGAGACGTTTTCCCGAGAAATATTGGCTCGGCCGGTGTAAAGAGCATCACCAGTGCTGTCATCTGCATAGCAATGAATGTTACGGGTTTGCAACATATCATTGATAAGCAGAAAAAACAGCGTTGGCGATAGCACGCAGCCTTGTGGAACACCAGCATTAATAGGCTTGCAATCGGAGCTTGCACCGTCTACAACGACCTTGATGCCCCGATCTCCAAGAAAGCTGGTGATCCAATCGCACAATTTCTCGGGAAGCCCATAGGAAGGGAGCTTCGAAAGAAGCGCTTTGTGCCAAACCCGATCGAAGGCCTTCGCAATGTCCAAACTAACGGCCAATGCCTCCCCCTTGGACTCTACTGCCTCCGCCTATCTGTGAGTTAGGTAGACCAGAAGATCACCAGCTGACCGACCACGGCGAAAACCGTATTGGCGGTCACTAATCAGCTGGTGATCCTCAAGGTACCTCATGAGCTGGCAGTTTACAATGGACTCCATTGTTTTGGAGAACAAGGAGGTGATGGCGATAGGCCGGTATTTGGACGGGAGGGTAGAGTTTCTTTGCGTTCTGTCAGACAGTACGGAAACATCTCTTTTTTGTTGCATTCCCAAAGCCGCTGGTAAGGTGCCCATGAACCTGACATGGTCTGTTTGTCCAGAACAGCATGCCATCTGATGTTGGAGGCGTCTGTAGTCAAGAAGTGCGATACACTTTTTGTGTAAATTGGCGTTGTCAATGATAGGGCTCCCTGCCACCATTGTAAATCCAGTATTGCCCACCGAGGAACTGGTTTTTCGTTCTTACCCGATTCCCGGGGAATCGTCTTATAAACATTTGTAAACGGCGACAGTGAAGTTGACCGCGAAGTATTACATAACGTGCGAAATTTAGTTGGCCCAGAAGGCATTGTAATTGCCGAGGGTGGCAAGATTTTGTTGTTAATATTTTCGTTATAGCAGTCAGGATTGACGTTTGTTTTTTGGCAGGAAGACATTACATTTTTTCTGTATTTCATTTTATGCCAAGAAATTCGAGTGATCTCATTAGGGTCAGTATTGATTTTTTGAGATTCACTTGCCAGCCCAGGAACTCCAAGAGCTTCACCACCTCCGTAGTCTGTGATGCTAACTTGGAGGGGTCTTGGTGCACTATAAGATAATCGTCCAGGTATACTAGGACCCGCATTCCTTCTTTGCGTAGGGTTTTCGTGACCCAGCAAGTTACAGGAGAGAAGAGCCTGGGGGCCGACGATAGGCCAAATGGGAGCAAGGTCATTTAAAGCATTTCTTGATTGTAAAGAAATCGTAGGAAAGGTCGGTGTACATTGCTATAGGTAGGTGGAAATATGCCTGTGAAATATCGACTTTTACCATCCAATCTCTAGCTATGGCTTATAAGATAAAAATGTTTTGTTCCTACAATCTTGTTCGGATGGAGGAATATTTCTCAGGGCTAACTGAATACATTTGTTAGGCACTTCTTTAATTAATTTTCCCTTCTAGTTTCAATACATTCAGCTCTTTTACCACATAAAACCTGTAAGATAACTTCAGAATTTTTATTAAAGGCTATACCTTTCCCAATAGCAGAGCTTATCTTTTGCGCAAGTGCTGGTGCAGTCAATTCCTCTGGGGTATGGAGTGTAGAAGTAAGGAGTACAGACTGTGTATTAAAAGTGTCCATAGAAAACCGTTAAATAAGGGTGGCGCCACTATAGCTACGGGCTAAATTTTAAAGAACGTGCCGAAAAATATTATAGACGGCTTTTTCGAGGTTATATTTACTAAATAAAATTATTTTAGATTTTAGAGCTACTGAACAGTTTAGTAGCACACTTCAAACCGTCGACAACTGCCAAGTTCATTTCATCCCAGTAGCTACTCCAGCGCTGTTGTGGAGAATTTTTGAACTGTTATTTACTGCTTACAGATGGACACTTTTTCAACTATTCTATTATGGGAGTTGGTACTCCTTACTTCTACACTCTATACTCCGGGGATTTCGCAGCCCAATCAACTACTGACTGTAAGTCTGCTCAGAGCGTAGACAGAGAAACCTATAGACAAATTGACGCCTTCTTTCGCATTCGCACACGAAAAAGATAGATTTATGCATACGTCTTGCATAGAAATGAGATAGAGCGGTATGATTGTTTGTCCCTTTCTCCGTACCGGTTTTTTTGTATATTTATGTAACTTTAACAGCGTAGCGATTTAAGGAGTTTACAAGTTGGTTTAAGTGAGAAAAAAGTGTTTTGTGAGCTTAAGATTGGTGAATCTTGTTCAGTTCAGTTCTTAGAACAATTAAATTTTTTATCTAAATGTGTTTAAAAGTCATAAAGATTATTGTATAACCTCAAAATTTGTTACGTCCTTTTTCACTCGAGGCCACGCCGATCATTAGTCTATAGGTTTCTCTGTCTACGGCTCAGAGTAATTCATTGCTTTCAAAACAGCATTTGACAATGCTGTCATTACACTTTCAGTACCTGATAAATAATCTTTTGATTTGCACGATTCATCATTTACCCTCAGTTGAGTAAGCCCTGGGGTAGCTATAAAAGACTGTAGAGTCTTGGAATATCTTACATTTTGCCATGTGGGTAGGCCAAACTTTTCAACCTCACCGGAAGGGCTGGTTTTATTATTTTACTTCCATCAATATTGATGGCTATTGAACCTAGATAAGACCAATCATGGGATTTTCTTTCGGTATAGTAAGAAAGTTATCATAAGTATAGGCATTAACATCTTGTAGTTTATTTTGCGAGCTGCCGAGACTGCATGTAAATATGTGATAAAAATCCTACCTGGTTTATGAGAGCCTCCAAGCGTGAGCCTTCTTTTACATTTCTTCTTTCGAAAACAGGCCTTCCAATTTCGAACCGAGATGCAGACGATGAACTCGACGAAGATGAGTCCGGCTCGTCCTAATGGTATCCGTAATGTTCACATCCTTTTGCCCAACATGCTGAGGGGAATTAGCGTTACCACTCATTTCGAATAAAACTGGAGTATTTTTGCAGCGCAACTTAAATTTCGTCTAACACGGCAGTGAGAAACACACACAATGACACTAACAGGCACAAAGCACTAATATAACAGGGCGATCTCCTCCTTGCGGTGACATTTCATAAACAACATCAAGGTTCTCAAGTTTTGAGGGTATTAATGGATTCATCTACAACAGACGGTAGTAAGTATCAATAAAAAAGTTGAGTGCACCCTGCTTCTGCATAAGCGATGCTGTATTTTCTGATAGATGGATGAAATAAGAAAAAAGTGGTTGAAGGTCATAAGAAGATCAGATCAGAGAAAAATGTACATGGGCCACGCCTCGAGCCGAAATCTAGTCGAGCAGTATTGTAGGTCTTATATTACAAACGTGGCACAAAAACTCAATTTGTTCAAAGACAGCTAGCGTGAATTCTTGTTATGTCACGCTCCATAAGGCACACGATCAAATTTAGGAATAAAAGTCCGATAATATGAGAAGATAAAATCCTATAGATTGTGTTATAACTTTCTGCAAATTTATATTAAAATCAGTTTAGTATTAATTACGCGCTTGAATATTTGCGACCACTGCATTTTTAAAATACAACAGGCACCAACTACCAACGTAATACCGCAATCAGTTTATTCAAAAGTAAGTCAAAGTAAAATTAGGACCAATGTTTGCAGCCACTGACGAACTACGTAGCCAACAAAAAATTTTCACGTGTCACTAGATACTAATTAACCCCACCCCCCTGAACCATTGAGTTATACCCCGAACGGAATCCCGCTTTTTCGTGGCGGGGACTTGGTAGCCGTAGCTTGGTCGCCCACGGTGAACTAAGAGGAATCCACATGGCTGGCCTGAGGTGTAGGGCCGGCTTGAGGAGGCCACTCCAAGTGGGCTTGGTGAGCCCACTTTGGATGTGTGTCGGCAGGCTGCGGCGAGAGGGATACACTCTCCCCCTACCGCTGAAGTCGAGGTGGAGTTGCTGAGGAAGAGGAGTGTTGGTATGGCGATGCGCCACTCGCCCTATCCTCCGCGACTCTGACGGGACCGCACCACAAATTGATGTGGTGGTGGTGGAGCTGCGGGGGAGAGCAGTGTCGGTATTGCGAGGCGCCGCTCTCCCTAACCTCCGCAACCGAATCTTGGTTGGTGGCGGAGCCATTGACCAGATCCGCCGCTAGGATCAGGAAGGCTAGTGCTTCTGAATGCTCGTTTTTCCTGGGCCCATGGCCTTCCCGCATCGGACACGGGGGCGTCTGAAGCACATGTGAAGATGAAAGCCGCGGAAGAGAGTGCGTCATGTGTTCTGGAGCGCCTTACCTGAGTAGATGAAGAAGGAGTAGTCCTCTCCCGAGAAGAGGGCAACCAGCGCTGGTGGGGCCGAAGATGTGTGCAAAAAGGTTCCCGTGGCCCTGCTTATATGTGACAAAGGTGGAATACCATGGGGTTTTAGTCAGTGCGAGTCCAAGTCCATGTAAAAAAACATACTAAATTATAGTAGTTGATTATTATCCATTGCATTAGTAAGTTTAAGCAAGTTTTTTTCATGTTATGTCGTTGCAAATCATATGAAACTCGTGGTTTGGTCGGTAATACCTACCAATGTATTACTGCGTAAACCTACTAATCAATGGTAAAGCTGTATACTTTTCGTAATCTTTTGTTAGTAACCTTACCTTGGGAGATTTATTCCACGCATTTCTAATGATAAAAAATCGTTATTTTCAGAAAAATACTACGCAACTATAAAAATATCCACTTTTGGCAGATTTTGACTGTGCTTTTATAAAGCACGCTTCCATTTTTATTACAGCACTAGCAAAATTTAAAAATTAGTGAAACTTCAAAACGTTATAACTTTCTTATTTCTGCACTAATATGGATGAAACAAAAACTATTGTTATTTTCATAACATAGGTCTTATTGTCAAATAATCACATTTTGGTGTGAGCCAATAAAACTAGTAACCTATATTATAAACCAACAAATCAAACTCAAAGAATCTTATTTAATTATTATAACATCAAATGTAACAAAAACATGTGTCAAAATAAAACTTAATTTAAATCAAAACACAAAGAAATATTGATATCAATTTCGATGCAAATCACTCCCAAAATCTTACTCGTATTATTCACCAAATCACCACCAGTGCTAGCGGCTAAATTTTGCACAGTTGAGGTGCTAGCGGCTAAATCTGACGCAGCGTAGGTGCTAGCAGCCAAATCTGGTGCATTGGATATGCTAGTACTAAATCTAGCGTAGCAGATGTGCTAGGTGCTAAATCTATGCCACTCTTTATTGAAATCTCTCCAGATTAGTTTTGAATGATAGGCTCACAAAAAGGTTCGACCTGAAAACTATTATATTATAAAAATACTAAAATTGTATGACTCTTCAAAAATAGTAGGGTGATCCTACTGTTTTAATTAGAAAAAAAAAAAACCATAATAGGAGCACCACATCCAGATACGGATTGTGAATTTGTTTGATTTTGATCATTTTTAATTAAAATGCCAGACATATTTGATTGAATCGCAGGCTGTAAACAAACAATAAAATGTTTTTTATTAATCTTAAGAACACACTCGAACACATTCTTTACATTACTATTTGTGTCCAATATACAAGGTGAAATTTCTAACACTATATTAAACAACATATTCAGTTCATAATTCTGAACCCTCCTGCGTTAAAATTTATTGTCATTTATTTAAAAAATCTGCTATTTCCTACGCAGCAAAGTGCAATACGTACGCAGTCAAAATGTATGAAATATTTTTTTTTAAATAACCGACGAAATATTTCAACGCAGCGGGGCCTAGTCATGTACGGAATACGTCGTTTCAATTAACACCACTTCACAACACCAACGTCATCACCACTTAATTTATCAGTCACTACGCAATCATGATGACAAATTTATAACATGTAACATTACTTACCGATAAAATTCGGGAAGGTAAAGCATCGTCACGCAATGTTACTTCCAGTTGTTCCAGTCATATTTTGTTTTTTCTTTATTAGTAGGCAGCCAATAAAGAACCATAAAATAGCATTATCGATAAATATAAAAATGTCTAAATGCATTAATCTGTCCCTACGAAAACAAGAAAATGATTGCATAAAGTAAAACTATTGAAAATAAAAGCAAAAGGGAAATAATTAATGCTTCACTGTTCAAACTCTTTAACGAATGCGGAATCTTTTGCTTTTTTATCTATATCCTCATATTTGTATAACTATTTTTTCTATACTCAAAAATTTCTAGTCCATATCGAATCTAATCTCATCGACGAAGAAATTCGCCTGTCAAGCGATTCACGCGGTCGATTCAATTTGGCGCTTCGCGGTTCGTTACTATAAAAAATAATGGAATAAAATATAATGGACGCAGTTTCATAGTAAATACATATGAGGCGACTTTCTGCGATTCGGTTCGACACGGCTCGCCGAACCGAGTGGACGCGGGCCTTTATAAACGTCTATGGTTTATCTATCTAAGTTGGCAAGTGTCAACATTGCAGCATTGCACCATTGCAGAAGCATAAGTCAAAATTTTTTGATTGATAATATCAGAATTTCAGATTAAAATTAATTTCATTTTATACATTAAATAAAATAAAATATAATGGCTACAATGATAACATCTTGGAATCCAGAAAAAAAACATAGTGATGTTGAGAGGTATAAAATAATATTTGGTTTTCGAGTTCAGTTTTACTTTACAACGTAGTTTCATGTGCTGACGTATGTAGATTATTACATTTTTAATTTTAGCTATTAAGCCTATTGTATTATAATAAATGTATTACTTATTGACATTATTATACTTCATATTCGAGAAAAATAAGGCCGAAGCTCGTAAGATCGTTGGATAGCTAGCAAATTGCTAAACGTTTATCTTCTACGGGTATAAATGCTTTTAAAGGACTTATGAAATTAGAGAAAACTTAAATATTAGTAATGCAGTAGGTTACTATTTTCCCTTGGTCTTTAAAAGGTAAAAATGCGAATTTTATGTATGGTTTATGATTACTAACAAACATTTAATACATGATACTTTTGGGGCATTTTTAAATGTAGTTTATATTTATCTTTGTAAACCTTGTAACTATTTGTCAGTTTTGTGAAAATGATTAAATTTTAATAAATTTTGTAAAGCTTATGGTTTGTTCAAATTTTGCAGATGGGTATGTATTTATCCTGCATATATAAATAGTAAAAAGACTCTTGCTGAGGGACGCAGATTGCCAAAATCATCCTGTGTTGAAAATCCAACACATCAGGAAATAAGGGATGTGTTGCTAGCTACTGGCCTTCGAGTGGGTGTTGAAAATAAGTTATATCCAAGGGAACCTAGTAAGGCAAGTGATTATAAAAGTTTAAAGTAAAGTGACAACAATATACTACTTTTGCTCGGTACAGCCCTTCCCTTGTTTCTATGATGTTTATCAACCAGTAGAGAAAAAGATTGCCCTGCTATTCTTTTAAATATACAGTTGAATCTCTATAACTCCAATGTCAAGGAAAATGCAAAAAAATTCAAGTTAACAAGTTTTCAACTTAACAAAATTTTCGAGATACATATAGTTTTACTGCTGAAATTTCGACTTACTCATGTTGTTAATTAACTGCCAAAAAAAAAATACTGATAGACAAGCTCTGCTAAAAGTAATTGTGTCCTTTGTCGACAAGGAATAAACATAACATTCACAGCTGTGTACTTAGAAACGTTACTTAGAAAGTTTTATGAATGTATTAATTCATTTAATGGGTATAAGACAAAAACAATAGTAATAAACATAATGATTTCTTGATGAAATGTCGGGATAATAAAAATAAATTAAAGTAATTAAATGTGACAAAATCCATAAATAATAGTTTTATTCAATGAGTAATAAAGATAATAGAGCATCTCCCGCCCTCTTACAATTGCGTGCACTAATTCTGTCACCACTAGTCCCAGCACCACTACTCCCAACACCACTATTCCAGGAAAGACACACCATCGACGATAATACATACTTTATAGTATATAGATTTCCGCAAAGTAACGCCTGATTCTATCAATTATCTCAAAAACAATAGATTAGAAGCCCCGAACCCGAACATTCATTTCGGATTTTATTGCAATTTTGGGGAATTCCAAGTAAGACATCATTATATTTTAC